TGAAAGTTTCTGTGATGACTGCCCTTGTCCTGTTCACCATGTAAGAACTTATTCACTATGTAAGAACTTGTTCACCATGTAAGAACTTGTTTGTTATGCTTCAGAAGATTGGAGACTGTTGAGAATTAGGCTTGGGGTTGATTAATGATTGTGCATTGAGTCCCCTATACAGAATTTTATTGTTGTTAACAACCATTTGATCAGTAAATATGAGAGATGCCCTCTCAAAAAAAAAAAGTTAAGAAGAAAAAAATCAGGTCAGTTCGTAGCTTCTGGTTTTTGTTTTTAGTCAAAAAAAAGGTGCACTTTATCCACATGTCTAACAAAGGGAAAATGCACAGGTTTACAGCTTTGTGTGTAGCAGTGTGATTCAGCTAGGCATTTAATGAGATGCATTGACGTACACTTACTGAGGGTGAAAGTCATGTTGAACTTGGTGAATCGATTTCTGGTGACTTTGATTTCAGATGAAGTTACCATCTCAAGTTTACTAGTTTATTGTTACCGCCATCTCCTCTTTCAATACTCAACAAAAGTTGTTTTGTCTTGAGCAGCATTTGTTTTCTAATTTGCTCTACCAAAAGTGTGTTACAAACACAGAGTATTTGTATCAGAAGTTTCAGTATCTTGAAATTGGAATGTGGGGTGATTCATGAGTTTTGCATCAATTATTAAACAGTCATTGATGAAGATATGCAGAGATGGATGGGGCAGTAGAGTATTCTGGTCACACCTGCTGGTTTAGCGGTGATAAATGAGTCAGGAAACAAGAAAGTTCAAAACAGGTATTACCTCGAGCTGCAGTTACATGTGCCCTGGAGAGAGGTAGACAATAGCTGAACATCAACATAATATACAGGCCAGCAACTGGCAGGATTAAGATAAAGGTAAGGACTTGGCAAGAGGACTAAGGAATTTCAAAATCCTGCCATGCCAACCACTCTTTGTCTTACAGAGTTCTTAAGAGGATAGGGTCCAGGTAACGATAACACTTGGAAAACAGAGGGGACTATTTTATTATCTGGAACCGTGCCTGGTATCCCAGAATGCAGAGTTCTAACAATACTAGCCTGGATGCCACGGCTTAGATGTGAGCTAGAATTCTGCCTTGTCTTGGCCGGTGTGGATCGTAAAGGGGGGGCGAGGACATTCTCACGGGGAGTCTGCACAAGAACACACAGGTGCCCGTCATCCCTGGGTGGGGTAGGGGGACTGAGTTCTGTCACCCTTGGAGTGACATTTTCTTGGAAACTGAGCCAGAGGCTGACCTTGGAAAAAACCACCTAACTCTTCCTTCAGATACCCAAGTTCCCCAAAAGGGAAGGCCCTTCTTCTCATCCTCAACACCTGGGTCCTGAAGCCCACCTGGAATTCCAGAGCCTGTGGTAACACCACTGCTGAGAGGAAGCGTGTAAACGGCTCTGAAGCTGAATCTTAGCCCTAAAGACACAAGCGTGGCACTGTTAGCCCCCTAGCCCCCCAACACATACACAGACACACACACACCGGGTCTCCCTCCCCTCTCCCGTGCTTCCCGCCACTTCGTCTCTCTGGGGGGTGTTTGTGTCCTGAACAGTTTGAGAGTCTGACTCACTCCTCAGCCTGAACGTGAAGAGAAACAGCCATGTGTGCCCCAGGTCCCACCCGAGGCAGGAAGCTTCGTGAATGATGCCACTGCCAACCCCTCACTGAAAAGCCAGAAGCAGTCACTAACGCCCGAGGTGTACCCTGGCCCTCGAGTGGCTTCTCAACCGGGGCATTCTGTGGCGAACTGCAAACACCAAAGAGGCTTCTTTCTCCTCTGCACATCAGAGTGTTTTGCAAAGATGTACAAACTGACAAAGGCAAGGGGTCAAATAATTCACCGGAGATGGATGGCTTCCCAGCCTTGCTGGCCTTTATTACTCCTCAGTGGGCACTTGGCATGGAAATGGGCCTTCTAAGCTTCCAGCAGGAACTGAGTGGCCCGCAGCTTGTTCAGTGTCTCCTTAAGGTAGGGCTCATTTGAAGGAGTCTTCCTGCGTGAATGGGCCAGATTTCCACGTGAGATGATCAATAAGGAAGGAGATGGCCTTTTCTGAAGGGAGACTATAGACTAAAAGTCATAAACAGGTGACATAGAACAGACTTAGCCCACAGACAAGGTTTTTCTAAGGCCACAGTGTTGAAGAAAAAGTTGACAATATATAAAATATAAGAGATTTTGCATAAAAATTTGGATTTCAAGCTTTGTACAAAAAAAAAAATAAGAGTGTCTAACAACACATGGAATATTCCACTGCCACAATCGGCCTAAGCTAAGCAGCCACCCTTCTCTTAGAAGGGGCCACAGGCTTCCCACTTCACCGGGTTCGCTTCACTCCACGATGTCATGGGGCCCTGCAGGGCGTGGAATTCACTAGCCCTGGAGTCAGTCGTCTAAGAGGCCACACCAGGAATCATGAATTGTTCTTTTAAATTGTGCCTCATATGAAAGTGACTGGGGCTGCGCCTTATTCTTTTTAGTTCTGCACAAAGAATGACCATTAGAAGCATTTTCACGTATGAAAAAGGACAGTTCCATGCAAAGTGGGGAATTTTGTGCTACTTACCTGGACAAATCAGGCATACAAAGAAAATCCTGAAATGATGATATTAAAGTAAGATTTGAGAGTTGAATTATTCAGGGGTGATTACCTTAGTTTTCCGCCTCGCTGTTTCCCCCTTGCTTTCTGCACATGGACATAATCTTCAGAATGTTCCTCTGTCAAAGCCAATAGTCATAATTCCCCCACCTCCCTCTCTCTCTTATTTTTTTTTTTTAACTCATTTGCACTCTCGGTAGCAGTTGTTGGAGCCCTGCAGGGGAATAATTGCAGAGGAATTAACCTCTGACATTTTTCTAAAAATAGGCCTAATAAATCCAATCGTAGGTAATTTACCTGTCCCTGTTCCTCTGGGGGTAACCGGCTTGAAGAAAGACTTGGCAAGCTAGCATTCGTTTAGCAATCATCTGTGGTCTGAGTTCCTGGTGCCTGTGTATTTTCTCCTTTGGGAGACAGAATACAGATTGCCCTCTCCCCTCTGACCTCATGACTCTGTGTCCCAGCACCCTGCTCCTGGGTTTGGAATAAGGCTGTCCTCTTTCAGAAGGGTGCTGGGTTCACTGGAAGAGAGGGCGCATGGGTCAGGCTAGAGCATCTGTGGCTGGGACCTTGCCCTTCCGACGTGCAGACTTGCCAGTGATTTCTCTGCTCTCAGTCCCTTCATGTCGGTGTCTGAGCTTCAAGCATTCCAACCTCGGTTCGTCACAGACCTCAGCCCTAATTTGAACCATCGCAGCTGAAACCTGTTTGGGGAAGTTTCTTGATGTAGAAGAAAGGGAAATGCAGAGGGCCCCGGATGGGTAAAGAAATAGCCATTTCCCTGAGCCATGAATTCATTTTCTGTTGCCCAAAATGGAAGGATCTGAAAGTGCTTTTTCCTTTTGTTCCCTCCAGAAGTTCCACGAGACCACAGTGCAGTGCGAGCCTCTAGGACACTGACTTTCCCAAGGGCCATTTCCAGTGGCACTTAAAATACAGAACGTACAATCCTTGTAAATTCCACTGCAGAGACAAAGCCCTACACCCTTAAAGGCACAGAAAAGTCTATCTATTATCTATCGTTTCAGAATGAGTGTGCAGTTACTTAAATTGCCTTTGTCTTCTCCTTTTCAGCTGACATTATCTCTACGGTAGAATTCAACCACACGGGAGAATTACTAGCGACAGGGGACAAGGGGGGTCGGGTTGTAATATTTCAACGAGAGCAGGAGGTAAGTGGCAGTGAATGCGAAATGCCCGTTTTCTTCTCTTTTTAAAGGAGGCCTCCTACTGTTTCTTAATCCTCATGTGTCGCCCTTAACCTTGCCGCTTTGCTAGCAAACTAAAAAACTGCCAAAAAGTCATTACCATCCACAATTCTGCCTTCAGACTCATAAAAGCACCTGAGAAGAGAGCTGTTTCTGGGCACGGCCTTATCTTCCCAAACCTGGGTATTGCACATTCCAAACGACCTCGCTTCTCAGCTTACCTGCAAATGGTTACTCTTTGAGTATAACTCCCCCTTTTTTGAGTGGGATTTATCCTTGAGCTATTGAAATGAAGTCTCCCCTGATTTCAGGTGCTCCCACAGACTAGGCAGCAGGAAAAACAGCTCTTTGCTCACATGTGAAAAGGACAACCTGGGTCAGCCGAGAACCAAATGATAGCTCACCCTACAAAAAGGAGTGAAATCCCACAAAAATAACATCTGAGCTATGCCTACGGTGCCCACTTTACTGTAGGTAACACAGAGGTCCCTGGAGCTTAAAGCTGTGTGCATTCTGAACAGGAGGTCTAACTTCCAGTGAATCTCATTTCTTTCTGAGACTCGGGTTCCACTAGGGATTGTTTCTCTTTTTCATATAAATTGAGTTTCTTGGTGTCTGCTTCTGTTTGTCAGGATGGAATTATGGCCCATTTTGATTTCCTTGGCCTCCCCTGGCATGGGCCTGGAGTTTCCAGCAAGCCAGTCTGTGTTCTAGTAACTCTCCCATCTGCTACCACCTGCCTCTGAGATTCTCCCAGCACAGCGCAGGGGGAGGCCCAGTGCAGAAAAGCTTCACCAGAGACTTCCCTGGCAATTTAAACCCTGTTTTGTGCCTCAAAGCCATTTGCATTACACCTCCCCTCAAAAAAGGAAAGCCTCATTTAGAGGTGATATATTTGGTAATTGCACATTATTTGCAATTAATTTCTATAAGGGCATCATAATCCCTCAGGGTTCTGTATAAATTCAAGTGTTTAGCATTAAATCAGGCATCCAGCCTATTCTGTTGGCCCTGGAAACATGAAAATGTGGTTGGCAAGTAGGAACTAATAGCTCTTGGTGACCTGGAATTTTTCCTGCTTTTCCAGAGCTGCCTAGTGTTAATTGGTCTGGCACATACTACACACACTTGACAGTCTGATTTGGATGGTACCAAATCAACACTCATAAAATTATTGTTAAGGTGGACTGGTTGTCTCTGCAGAAAGCGAGATAGTAGCTAGTGTGTCCACACTGAAAGTCCTTTTAAAACTGATTTTTCAATCTTCTTCAATTAAAAAAAAAAAATCCCGTTAGGATCGGAGTGATGATAAAACGGAACAGGAGCTGCTGGTTAACATAACTTAACCCAAGGCAGCCTGTTGCCAGTAATATTCCACTCTGCATTTTCTGTTAGCTATTTATAGATTTCACCTATTTTAATTTCCTGAACTATTTGAGAAAACTGATTCATTAATAGAAGGAGGGAGGGAACACATTTTGCAAAGGAGAGTGGTTTTTTTTCAGTAGATAATAGATGTCCAGGATAATGACACGCAGTGAAATGTTTAGCTTTGTGCAAGACTTGAGGCTGAGATGAACGCTCAGCCTGGGAGGCAAGGCCGGGGGACACCACCTAGGTCAGGCCCCCTGCAACTTCTGTGAGGGAGCGCTCAAGAGCCACCCTCCTGGAAGGGTTTGTCCTCGGACCCTCAGTGTCCTTGCAAACACGCTGGATGCCCAGGCTTCCACACCATCATCCACTGGAAAGTTGAGATTCGGGGTTGTATGTTCAATATCCACCCAGAAATAGCAATTTTTCAATTGAGCCTTTTACATAGAGGCAAGCTTTTGTGACAAATGTTTAATAAGACCTGAATCTGAATTTCTGAGCAGCTTCCCAAAGCTTGAATCTGGACCATCCTGAAATGCCTCAATAATAAATAAAACCACCGTCCCTTTTTTCCCTGCTTCTTTCTGTCTCCCTCCCTCCTAATGCCCCCTCTCCACCTTTCTTCTCTCGCCCCTCCCTGCCGACCCTTTCCTTTATGTTTCATTCTCTAGTCATTTATTTAGCCCCTGCTGTTTGTGCTTTGCATAATCAGAGCTGGGGGAACTCTCCTCATTAGCTCAGTGGTTCACATGTCATCTCTGTGCTCCTGTCTGTTTTGTTACTCATGTTAGAAAAAAAAAGGGAGAGGGAGAGGTCTGAGATCTGGTGACCAAATCTGCTGCTTAAAGCTGTGTGACCTTGGAGAAGTCACTTGAATATTTCTGAGCTTCTCTTGTCCTTCTCCCTGCACTGCTTACCTCTCAGAGATTCTGTGAGGGCCTGGTGAGTTTTTGAAAGGCACTTTTGAATTGATGCTATAGCTTTGAATTCTTTGTAAGGGATTCATGTATGTCCGTGCGGACCTCAGCGTGGGGCGGATCCCTCCTAACAGCGTCCAAGACGTCCATGAGCACGCAGAACATCTTAGAACTTCAGTTGTATTGATTTTTAAAATGTGTCCTGTCTCAGTCTCTATTTCTGTGTATATGTTATACTGTATAGCTTATCCTAGTGCAGATGTTCATGTGTATAATTTATAAATAAATATATGTATATTGGAGGTGCCAAATTTTACCATCAGGGGAGCATGATCAAACGCTTGGGGGGCCCCTGAACGAAGGTAAACGTGTGGCTGTCGTGGTCGTGCCCTGAGATGGCCTGGCCATGCCACTTCTCATAACCCCACTCAAAAAAAGGAAGAATTGATGAAGTTACAGTTGGCTGACGTGGTTTAATCTTTTGTGCATTTTTCTCCCCCTTCCTACAGAGTAAAAATCAGGTTCATCGGAGGGGTGAATACAATGTTTACAGCACATTCCAGAGCCATGAACCCGAGTTCGATTACCTGAAGAGTTTAGAAATTGAAGAAAAAATCAATAAAATTAGATGGCTCCCTCAGCAGAATGCAGCGTACTTCCTTCTGTCTGCTAACGGTATGCGGGGGGGGGCGGGGGGGGGACTCTTCCTCTTTGGTCTTTTCAGAGACGTTTCAGCAAACCATGTATTTCCATCTCTCTTAGACTCAGTTTTCCTTTTTACTTTGGGGACTGTTGGAAAGCTTAGAAATAACATACTTTCGAGCTGCCTAGTGGATTGCCTGGCACAGAGCAGACCCTCTGTAAATAGTAGTTGTTCTTTTAAAAAAGAACAAATTTATGGCCGAATTTAGATGAGACCTGTTATCTGCAATTTTCGACTAAGGCAGATTATTTTCAGGTGTTTTTGGAATATGACTTCCTGTCTTAAGATTCACTGACATTCTGGGAACACCTTTCAGAAAACTGGGGTGTTGTCCTGTGAGTTTGGTATACTAAATAGAAGTTTTTAATTCCTGAATATATTTTGCAGTTTGTAAAGCAGATGGCCCTGTCTCTCTGACGCAGTCAAGTTTTCAGCTAGCAGCACAGGTCAAGGAGGGGGGACCTAACCAGAGAATTTAGCAAGAAGTCTTTTTTCTTCTCTTTCTCTCTTCATACTCATCTTATACCATTTGTTGTTTTAGGGGGAGTTGATATAAATAGGTCAGAGAGAGAGGATTTTGAGGGTTGAATAGAAAGCCAAATTCCTGCTAATTCCATAAGCCTTTATGCTGTGCAATTACCCACCCTAAAAGTTCTTAATAATCCTGCTGAAAGAAGCCATCTATGCTCAGAACAATTCAGAATAAAATCATATACTGAAGGGTGCTAATTGAATAGCATACAATTAAGAGGATTAGTATATAAAAATTAAATACCCTGTCCCAAGCAAATAAGCTTGGAGCACGATTCATCCCATCTGTTTTTGAGTCTATGAGGAGTATACATTTAAATATAAATCAAGATGCAAGGGATTTCCTTTTGCCTATCCCCAGCATTTATAAAGAAAGGGAAGTGCTTGCATGTCAAGTAACAAAAGTACAGACTGTGTCTATCACATGATCAAACGCAGATTAATGTTTGGAAAGACTGGAAAGAAACACACCGAGAGGTTTATCACGCCTGATTTTTTATCGTGCGTTATGGGTAACTTACAAGTTTGTTCCTTTTATAAACATTTTTATTTTCCAAGTTTTTAGAATGACTTGTATCTTAATCTTATGAAAAAAGGGAGAAAAGTTGTTAATGCCTATGAACCCCGAATCCCTCAAATAGAAAGCCAGCGTACAAATCTGAAAAATAACAACACTGACGCAGCCAGGTGAGGGTCACTCAAGCGCTGCTTGTCTCACCGTGACCAGATCGCCGCTCACCTGTTTGTCCAGAATCCAAGTCATTTAACTCCTTCTCAAAACTCTATTTATTGTTCTGTTTACCTTGTTAGACCCTGGTTTCTTGGAAACCAAGCCGCACGCATTCGTTTCAGTTCAGTTTTGCTGTTCAAGTTTCACTCACAAGCTCTGCTCATTCCACACTACTTAGAGTGAGAGAGACTTTTTTCTGATGATTTTGACTTAATTACTCCAGGCGGAGAAAAAGCATCCGATTCCATCTTCTATAGCTAGCTTACTTTATGTTATGAAATTTAGCCTATTGATTATTACAATGAAATTCAGAGACTTATTAACTACTTTGTGGGGGGATGGGATAGAAATCAGTGCAATGCAATGAAGATTAATTGTATAGCATAATGTTCTGTTAATTGAGTTTTTAAATAGTTTTTTGATTAACAAGGATATTATCTTCCCATTTGGGATGCTATTTCATATGCCAACAGCATCTCAAAATGAGTCTTATAAGAAAAATTCCCATGTTCTTATGTGATTTTCCTTTTTATACTAATATTGAGGTTGAGAATTCCCCTTAAGCCAAATAGGTTAACACGCAAAAATTAATGGAAGACAATTGGAATTGCCGTACAAAAGAGAAAATGAAGATGTATGATAAGATTGTGTTTAAAAGCTGCCACAAGTAATGATAAACTACTCAGAGGGGCAGTGAGAAGGAAGGAAAAGCCATTACTCAGAGTAACAGCCACACATTCCATGGACTTTAAGCTTCAAGATAGTGAGTCAAGAGAAATTGTGTGATAATAGACTCAAGAATGACTCCAGGCAACCCAGCCATGGGGAATTGGATTGAATTCACCATCAATTATCTTTTTTTAAAAAAAAATGGCACTGATCTCGTTATAGCTGGGTACAATTTTTACTTTCTGCTAGAATAGATTTCCAACTTTACAATTTTTAATGAAAAATAAAACCAACATTCATTTGGGAATCTAGACCTTGAAATCATTTGCCAGATGAAAGCACATTGCTCTCCCGGCTGTGTCTGCCTTAGTACCTGTGGTGAGAAGGGCAGGTTTACTTGAGCTGTTTTTCTTGCTGTGAAAGTAGACATTGTTGTAAAAAATGTAGAAAATTTTTTACATGTTGTAAAATGTTGTAAAAAATGTAGAAAATTTCTACAGAGAAACAAAATGAAAAGAATAAAAGTGCTCCCATGGAGAACCACTTTTAATGTATTTTAAAGAAAAGAGCAAAGAAGCGTAGATAAATGCTTGTCTCTTAACAAAAATGTGACATATTCCATAAACTGTTTTGTAGCCAGACTTTTTATTTAATAATACAACACTTAATAACAGGAATATCTTCCTAACTGTAAAACAGTCTTCTAAAATACCATAACATTCTCTGTGACTGCATAGTATCCGCTTATATAATTCTTGTATAGTTTACTAATAAATATCCCATTGTTAGACCTTTAATTATTAGCAGATTCTCACTATTATAAATGATATATTTATAGGAATAGATGTCAGTATAGGTAGATATGATTTGGAAAACATTATAAACTGCATATAGCATGTTACATCAATTATATAATTTCACACACAGATATAATGAAAAGATACACAAAAATTTCATAGTAATAATTTCTAGTGGAATTCAGGGAGATTTCATTTTTTTACTTTTATACATTTTCTACGATTATATTTACCACTTGTATAATAAAAGGAAATAAAATGAGAAAATACTAAAACCTCTATAGGCAACATTAGTACAGGTTTGTACCTCTCCCCAAAGAAATGCATAGAAAAATACTACAAAGGATCTTTGAAAAATATTAACAATGACTGTCCCTGACTGGAGGAATTTATAGGTGATTTTTATTCTTTATGTTTTACCTGAGGTTTCTGTCTTCCTCTGTATTAACAGTTTATCATTCATAAAAAGAAAAATAGAAAAATTGCCTTGCAAGTGGACTGGGATGCATTCTAAGCCAAACCATAGAAAATATTTGGTGTTAAAATTCACTAATTTGGGTTCTTCGAAGTCCCAACTGGTCAGTAGCTAATCCAGTGACTGTATAAACATGGCCCATGGTTCATTTTCTCACCCTAAAAAGCATTTACTATGTAGCAGGAGAGCCATAGAGGGTAAGGCCAGAAGGGTGTCAACCAAAGTTCTAAGTTCGACCCGATGTCTGGGAAAGGCTTCTGGCCCGGGCCCAGCCAGGGGGTGGGGGGCACAGCTGAGCGTGTACAGACCTTCCCCTTGGCAGCCTTGCCAGGCGTGCCAGCAGACATGACCAGCCTGAGGGATCTCCAGATACTAGGAAATAGAGGCATGAATCTCTTAAAGTGGCCAAATTGTTGGCCAAAGCCCACTTCACGATGTGGTACGTTTCTGACCTCTAAGGACAAGGTATTCGGCCGGGGAGAGAGGGAGGGGGCAAAAGAGAAAGGTGGCTTTTCTCCCCTGACAGAGAGGAAATAGCACAGATGATGTGCCAGCATCATCACGGCATGAAGCTAACACGTCTAAACAACGTGTTAGTACTGCACAATGGTCACCCCGTTTGCTAATTCTAACAAGAGCAGCCACTGGTGAACCATCATTAGAAGCCCAACACTGAGTTAAATATGCCACATGCAGCGTTTAATCCTCCTAAGAACTCATGAGGAAGATGCTCTTTTTCCCAATTTATAAATAAAGAAACTGAGGCAGGGAGAAATTAAGAATCTTTATTCGTAAGGTTGGAATATTTGGGACATACATACGCTAAGGAATCATTCACTGTTTTCTCTGAAGTTCAAATGTAACTTGGCATTCTGTACTTTTTTTCCTGCTTAATCTGGAGCTCCCGTTTGTTCGTCCCTCAAGAATACCAGTTAGGAGCCCAGTGCATGGGAATCCCACTCCTTGACCAGGTGGCTGGCTGGAGTGGAAGGGGGATTGGGGTGCAAGGTTGTCTGGTTCCAAAGCCTGCAGACACAGAGGAAGATACCAGGAAGGCAACCGAGCCCCTGCCTTCCAGACGAGAAGTTAGAACAAGTACAGCTAATGAAAGCAGGACCTGATAAGAAAGGCCTACATAGGCACGTGGCCCACAGACATGATCCGTTTGGCCCAGACATGTGTCCTTAAAAAATGGAATCGCAAGCGTGCAGGTGGGGCATGCAACCCCTTGACTGCGGGGCTCCCAGCCCCTTCCCCTCTCCTCTGGCCTGCCTGCCCCTGTCGGCATTGCATCTTGCACCCATTTTATTACTGTAGAGAATGACAGGTGTCAGCAAGTGGTGTACAGTGCTGGGACAGTACAAAGACAAGAAAGGCTGTTTCTAGCTGGGGACTTGAAAGAGACTCCAAGGGGAAAGAAGCATTTCGATGGATCTCCTTACCATTTTACTTCCCTAACTATAGCTAACAGTATGCATTGTACAGAGAGCTTCATTTATCCATCCAACTAATATTTATTGAACATCTGTTATGTCCCATACACTTTTATAGGCACTGGAGGTATAGTGATAGACAAGACAGAACCCCTTCCTCCAGTGATTTGGAGTCTAGTAACAGAGACTTAATAAATTATAAGTCGTCAGTTAGTGGCTGGTGCTAAGCAGAAGAGGTGATAGGTTGGGGAGGGCAACATTTTGATATAGGCTGGTGGAGAGCAAAACAAAAGAACAAATCATGAGAAGGGTAAAGGGCTTTCCTGGCAGAAGGTACAGCTAGTGCTAAAGCCCTGAGGCAGCAGTGGGTTGACACGTATGAGGAACCATAGGGACACGGGGAGTGGCAGGGAGTGGGGTGGACAGGGGTGCAGGTCATGGTAAGGACAGAGGTTAGTGAGGTGGGGCACTAAAATGGGGGTAACAGTAGTAGCTACCACTCAGGGTTATTGTGAGGGTGAAGTAAATTCTCCACACAAAGTGCTGGCATAGTTCATTCTATATACGTGGCTACTCTTGTTATTCAGTGTTCAATAAGTACTTTTATGGAATGAACCAAATTAATGTATAAGCTGCAGATTGTATAGCCCATTGTTAGGGAAGCTGCTTGTCTCTGCACAATGTGTGTTTTTGTTCTGAAACGTGAGCTCTGCCTTCAAATGACGGGAGGTTCACGCACTGAGGTCCTTCCCATGAGCCACTTCTGCTGCAAACCCCTGCCTCTCCCTGCTTGTCCCCACCCACAGAATTCTCTTTCACAAGCTTCCTCTCGCCGTGATTTTGATTTGCTCTGGTTGTCCTCCGCAGATAAGACTGTGAAGCTGTGGAAGGTCAGCGAGCGTGATAAGAGGCCAGAAGGCTACAATCTGAAAGATGAGGAAGGCCGGCTGCGGGATCCTGCCACCATCACAACCTTGCGGGTAGGCCCACTGCCTATTTTTGCCCGTCTTTCAGCTCCCTTGGCCCCTCGGGTCAGGAGAAGGGCTCCTGGTTCGCCAGGTGCTGGCCGCTGCTGCAGGGCACCACCGTAACGTGTGTGCGAGAAGGACCAGGCAGGGAGGGACCCACCTGAGTCCCTGCCGGCAGGTGGAGTAGCGGGACAGGTGCCAAGCTCCAGTGACTGCTCATCCGGGAGCTTCCTTTAGTCCCTGAGGGCATGCCCCGCCTTACTGTGTTCTCAGCCTCTGTCTGTTCACATTATCTAAGATGTCTTGAGCATTTTCTGTGTGCAAACTATGAGGAATGGGACGACCCGGGCGGAGAGTTGGAATCCTGTGATTCAGGACGTGAACTCCTGACTCGAACAGGCCTGGGTTTAAGTTCTGCCGCTTGACAGAATCTCACAGTCAACGTAACCTTCTTGAACTTTAGTCATGCGAGTCAGTTTTAGTTTCTCCACCTACAAAGCAGTGAACCTAACATCCGCTGCTCGTGGGCTTAGGAGGGTAAAATGCAGTGAGGATGGAAAGCTTTGGTCCGTGGCCCGTGCTCCATAAGCAGCCTCTGCTATTGGTCTGAGTAGCTTCCCTCGTGCCCTACAGAAATGCACTCTGGGAAGGACCAGGGGTTTGTAAGACCAGTATGCAAATGATCACGACACTAAATGGAGTAAGATTAATGCCCGAGAATCAGAGAGTCGCAGTTTGATCAAAGGAGGGAGAAATTATGTTTGGTTCTGGGAGATCAGGAAAGGTCTTCCAGGGAAGCGGTATTACACATGGATTTCTAAAAGCAGAACTTTTAAGGAAAAACTCTTTACATGTATAATAAATCGGTTCAGGACTGGGCGATGAGTTCAGTTTTGGATGCGTTCAGTGTGAGTGGTGAAGTAGGCACATGTTGGGACTTCCAAAATTGGGTGAAATACGTGCTTTCAGATACCAGCTGCTCTCCCCAAGACCAGACTGAGGAGGGAGACAGTGAAGTACCTGCAGCCAAAGAAACTGTGGCCCTGGGTTTAGAGGCGGGTCCGGGAAGTGACCGATCACTGCGTGCCTGATTAGCTCACATTAGTTCACCCACTCATTTGTTCATCTGTTTATCGAGCGGATGCGTTTCGAGCACAGACTCTCTGCCGGCCACGGTGCTGGCCGTCGCGCATCCGCCTAGCACCAGCGGGGCCTGGTCTCTGTTGAGCGCCTGACCGGCACACGCTGGCCGCTCTGTTTCCTCTCCTTGGCCTGGGCCTGCAGCGCAGACAGCTGCCCTGCTTGTCTGCCTTTTCAGGCTGGTCGGTGCTCTAAATGCTCAGAGGTTTTGGGGGCCGGAGGTAGAGCAGGGCACAGTAGGAACACAAAGCCTGTGCGCCCTGGGCTAGGACTCTGGCCCCACCGCTTTCTGGCTGGTGACCTTGGGACATAGTGCTTAGACCCCTCGGCCTGCAGTGTCACATCTGCACGACAAGGATGGAGTTGCCGCCGCCCCCCCCCCCACCGGGGGCTGCTGTGGGGACCCAGTGCTGTGTGGCCTGGGGCATAGGGCCGAGCCTCAAAGCGTTTCGCTCACAGAAAGCCTCCCCTAATGTCAGTCCCCTGCAGCTGGTTAATATCACCATCATCATCGCTATCGTTACCATCGGGGCTGTCACTACCCCCTACTGCTAGGAAGCTCATCGACGTGAGGAAACTCACATCCTTTTCTTTTCATACACTTTTTATACTGTTGTATTCACTCTACTAACGATTCATGGATATCAACAAGTGGTGAGTACCGTGCCGGCTCCACAGAAGGCGTAAGACAGTCTCCCGCCCTGCAGAACTCTGCAGCCCTATGGGAGAAGCGGGCGGGGCAGGGGCCACCGGGGAGGTTTCAGCATGAGCTTCTGCTCAGGTGTCACCTTGCTGTCTTTACTCTGCGGGTGGGATTTCTCGGATGCCATCTGCCGTCCTCACTGTGGGTTCCTGCCACCCATGGCGTCCTATGGGGTTTCATACGCCTGCTTCAGCCCCTTAGAGATGCCCTCTCCCTGACGAAGAGGAGAGAAGGCCTATATGTAAGTCTTCACTAGAGCAGAGATTCTCCCCAAGGGAAGACAGCCATGAACGGGACTTTGCACACATCCAGCACGGAAGGACGTCCTGAGCTATTCCTAGGAGTTAGAGAACCCCCCGTTCTAGTTCTTGCTTTCTTAGTGACCAGCTGTGTGACCCTGGACCCACGAATTGTATTTCTTCTCTCCAAGCTCAGTTTCCAAGCTGCCCAGCAGAGGACTGGACAAAGTCAGCCAGTAGTCTGCAGTGGCGGGTGTGCTCGTTACAGATGCAGATTCCCAGGCCCCAGCCCCAGTGCTTCTCTTCAGCGAGCTGGGCAGTTCAGAGGAATCTGCGTCTTTAACACAAGGCCCTGGTGGCTGAGACAGGGGGTCCATGGTTGCGGGACCCCGTCATCTCTGGGGCTCCTCTGAGCTGTGGTGTCATGAGCCTCTGCTGCTTCACAGTCGCGTCAACAGTTACTGTACCAACTTGGGAGGCACATTTGCTGTGATATGTAACTGCTGCATTCTGATTTCACCCCGTTTACCCTCCTAGGCCTCCAGGTATCCTGCATTACAGTGTAAACACCAACATTCCAATTTCCTTTTGATGCAAACACTGCAAAGGCCAGTCTCCTTCCCTTCTTGATCCCAGTGGTAGAAGACACCACCAGGCAACCCAGACGCCCATAGATTCAGAGCAATGATCCAAGCAGATGAGGAGCTGACGTCATATTAATCAAACTAATTTACTAAGGTTCTCTGCTCCTGAAATGTGCACTGCCAGCAGTTGTGGCTTTTTTTTCCCTCTCTGTGCTATGATTGCCTCTTGTTCAGTTTCATAGTCTCCAGTTCTGTGTGGTTCTTGAGAGAGAGGACGTTTTATATACCTGACAGCTAATTAATCCTCCCTGAGTGATGAACCTTTTGTTTTTCAGTGCTGGGAGGCTCAGTTTTTCAAAGCAAGAATGCAGCTATATTTTTCCCCTGTTTTCATGGAAAATAACCTTTCAAATACCATCACTAAGTACCCAGCAATGCAATGAGAAGCCCTTCTGTGAGACCTATCTCCTGCTCAGTATCATAGTATTCAAAGCAATAAACATGATGATGATTCCATAATAATACCTTATAGCTATAAAATGCCATTTATATCACAAGTGTGTCTTAACTAGTCCCTTGATTCATCTTCAGAACAGCCAGTGGGGAAGGCAGGACAGGTATTGGGCAGGTGAAAATGCTGGCACCTAGTGTTTTATTGAACATTTACTGTATCCCATGCACCAGGCTGCACACGCAGTCGGCATTAGCCACCTCATGAGGCATAGTTCACGTCTGTGTTTTGAGGAGGCTCAGAGAGGTTGAGTAATAGGCCCAAGGTCATGCAGGACTGTGAATCAAAGCCTGACCCACTTTGCCATGGGGCCTACGCCCGTAAACCTGTTGCAGGCTCAGAGGGGGAGAGTGACTTGCCCATTGCCCGTCAGCCTGTCATTCCCGGGCTGGGACTGAAGCCCTGCCGCTGTGGCTCTTACACTGGACACACACGTTTGGGTGTTTGAAATGGTTTTCTTAGTAATCAGTGCTGTTATTCCAGGTCAGCAGGGCGTCTCTCTCTCTTTCTCTCCCCCCCCCACCCCACATTGACACATGTTGAGTTTCCAGATCCCGACCCCAGCTTGGAGAAACTAAAACTCTGAGGTCTTACGTAGTCCTACTTGGCAAAATCCTCATGCCCCTTTCCTAACCCCTGATACCCAGAGGTAAGAGACCCTCCGAGCCCTTGCCAGGCAGCAGGCCCTCACGGTTGAGGGAACTCAATCATCCTGGACAAGCTGGGTGGCGAGGAGGTACACTTAGGGTGCTTCTCCCCCGGGTGAGCCTGGACTACTATCCCCTCACTGGGGTTGACGGGCAGCGCCAGGAACCTAGGCCCACTTGAAATTTGCTTGTTAACTAGTTATATACACAGAGTCCAGAAGGTGTGAGCTCCCAACTGTGACTGGCCATCACCTCCCCACAAATGAAGGGAATGTAATGAACTCAGGTTTTCTAATGTATTTTATCCAAACATTCCTTACAGCTAATATAGTAACAGCCACATTTACTGAAAGCTGCTAAATGCCAGTTGCTGGATTCTATATCCTTGTATCATTTCGTCCTGACAGTATCTCCCCCTCATAGTTGCTGTCACTCTCTCTGGATCATCTAAAGCTTTACGCCCTCTGAGCAGCTCGCCTAGAACACCCAGAGGGAAACAGCACCCTCCCATTTCCCGTTCACTCTGGGTGTCCTTACCCTGCCCTGTTTTCTTGGTTTTTATCCTCACTGGGTATATGCTATGCCATTGTCTGCCTCCCGTCCACCTCTGATAAACATAAGCTCCGCAGAAGCAGGAACAGCTAGAAGAATGTGTGGTAGCCCATGTCTTTGTCAAACGACTGGAGGGCACAGAGGTGGAAACTGAGTCTTGGAGTAAGCACAGAGTTCACCCCGGATCTCACGGCTAGAAGACGGCAGAGCTACTAGGGCTCAAACCCAGTCCATCGGAGGCTGACGCCGATGTTCTTCATTATGATTCCCTGCAGCTGCTGATATCCAAGAAAATATTAGTTCATGATTGCAGAGCAGGATATTTCCTTATTTGTGCCTCTTGGAATTATTTGGCAAAGCGTCCTTAATGTGTGAGCTGGATCTGGGGGCGGGGAGGGCGAGGGGAGAGGGCTGCAGAGGCCCTTCTACCGCAGGGTGGGAGCTCACAGTGGATGTGCTGGTCTTTACAGAGCAGATTAAATCACATCACATTTCAGACACATGCCTTCCACTGCCTAACGCGTCTGTCTTCTTCTAGTGCAGGACACACACATTTCTTATGACTTTGCTGGACTAATATCCTCTCAGAATGACCCTGATATGTGCAAGTTCCACTGGTGAATGGGCACTGCCCCA